TACATAATATAGCTCACCTATTTATCTGGCATGGTGTTCTTGATTATCCAAGTCCCAATTAAGACTAAAAGCGACATATTGGCTCTAAGTCACTTGTTTTGGATCCCACTACTATTTGGGGAAAACTTTAATATTAAAAAGTTTTTGAAGATTTTACTGAAAGAAAATGTAATGGAAAATATATACGAGTCATTCAAAAAAGCAAGATCTAGTCATTCCATAGGGTTCATAGAGATGTCGAAGACTTTCCATATGCGTGTGATCCGAAGCGTGTGAAGTGGCACACAAACTTTCTCTTCTTGATTACTTGCTTGTTTGTTGTTGTTGTTGTGGTTTGGCTCCCGTTGTTTGTGTGGTTGTTGTTTAGAGTTTTGTGGTATTCGAGTGTGCTTCTCTGTTTTTAGTGGGTTCGGAGAAACTGGGTCGCTCCCAAGAACCGAACTGTTACCTGACGAGGTAACGGGGATTGCCCGTCGTGGAAGGCCCATGTGGTACATCGTTTATAGACTTCGTGGTTGTAAACGGACTGTTCACTTGTTTGATGGGAAGGATCGTTCACATGGCCATAGGATTTGTTGTGTTGTTATTTGTTGTTATTGCTTGTTTGTTTAGGATGCTTGTTAGATTGATTGTTTACCATTGTTTCGTCAATGGTTTTGCTTGTTGCTTGTTTATCTATTTTTTTTTTGGGGCTTGGGGTGTTTAATTTCCGAGTTTAGGCACCGAACTGACTGAGTATCTAGTTGTAACACCCCGGTTTCAAGAATATGGTGGTGCATGCAGAGAGGTTTAAAAGAATTGATTTGGCCACCTATGTCACCAAAGTGCACTTATCTTTTCGGTCAACTGTCCTGAGAGAACTCCACAGTTAAGCGTGCTTGAGCTGGAGTAGTTTCAGGATGGGTGACCTTCCAGAAAGTGATGTGTGAGTGAGGACAAAACATAGGGAAAGATCATGTAGTGATTTGTAGGGTCGGTAAACAAGTCTTTAAAGCCTCCCGAACGTAGCTGACCGACCGTCGGACAGGGGTGGGCCCACGGGCCCGAGAGAGGACGTGGGACCCACTGGTAGGGACGGTCGGGGCGTTACACTAGTAATCGTGATGTCACTATTTTTGTTTCAGGTAACCCACTTACAATCACTCGCTGCTTCTCAGAATCCTCGATCCTTGGACACGCCGGACGGATGCACCACTGAATGCTACACAAGCAGAATCAAGCGAGTACTTACACAAAATTTGAGTCATGCTCTTCCCTTGAACATTTTTAACGACCCAAAAAATTATTGTAGCAAGTCTCTCAACTCTCTCCATGTTTGGTAACAGTCCCCCACTCTTCCTTTACTCTGCGATCTGCAACCAACACAAAGGGTAAATCCTAATCCCATCTACCTATCCTGCATAGACATACCGATTTAACTTGTGTATGAATAAAAATAGATAAAAGACTATCATTTGACTTCTAAGCAGTTAAAATATTGTCTTATTGATGATATTGACCAATCAAGCATAAACAAAATTGTTTTTACGATGAAGAATAATAATTCAATGAGTTAAATACAAAACCTCACCGATTGCATCTGAAAAATCTTATACGAGTCACTATATTGTTTATTGAATTATTGACAAATATATTTATTATATTAAGTGATATATTTATTTAATGAATATATGATTGAGACAAAAAGATACAAACTTGGCCGTCTCATGTGGTAGACCTTACTTCAGTGTGACTGTGCTGATGAAAGAGCATGTGCCTCTCTTAATGACATAAATATAAAATATACATATGGTTTCCCTAACTAATTATATAACATAACACAAATACAATTCAAAAAATTGTTTGTTGGTCACGCAATTACGAAATTAAAACCTAATAAATGCTTAGTGGGATGAATCCCCATCAGCAAGAAATCTCATAATCATCAACAACACAAAAGAGAAATTATTCATAAAATTTGTTTGAAGGAATTAACCAAGGTTCGATCTACACTGAAAACAAAAAACATATCTGTGTGGAAAGTCTGGGCTTGGACCAAAAATTCAAGCAATTTACCTGCTAGTCCATTAACAGGCGATCTGACTACCCCTGATATTAGTCGGAAAACATTTCAAACTCGGAACAGATAGTGTGGTGGCCATTCGGAGAGAAGTCCACTCTAAAACATTTCGGTACGTTTCTACCAAACTGACCGGATCAGCCGATAGAATTTATAAAAAAAAAATGTTATATATAAATGGTGCCAAAGCAAATTAGTACAAGATATATATCTATGAACTATTACCATTTACAAGCTCAAGCACGTTTTACATCAACCGCTAATTAAGTCTGGTCAATATACAACTCCTAAATCCTAATCACATAAGCATCATAAGTATGTCATAAGCGCAAGTGGTAAAACACTTGGGCCTGATAACTTGTAAAGCTGTCTTGTACAGTGTAAAAATCATATATATTCTCTTCTTAAGTCAAATAGGTTAATTCAACATTTATCCACCGTTTTATTTCAAACTAATAGCTGCCGTCACAAAACTAATTAATAATGTTCTGATATAAGATATTATAGAATATATATTTTAATATAATAATATTTACGTTCGTAAAATAGAAACTTCCCATGTGATATTCTTCTCTCACCGCCGGTTACGGTTACTGTCTTTTTCTTAGACTTGAAAATATTATTGTTGAACAAAAAAAAAAAAGAATTGAAAATATCAAATCTTTTTGTTATAGAATTTTAATACACAGCTTGGCTCATATATTTTTGGGTTTAATAGTTAACCGTCAATACTATCAAATATATTACTGTTGTAATTCTTTTCAACATATTGTTCTAATAATCTAATTTAATCCCACATGTAACCAAGTTTTTGACCTGAGAACCAACATATATTAGTATGTCTTCGAAAAATAACTGGACAGTAAAAAACTACATTTGTGAAAATGAGATCCATACTTTTGATTATATACGTAAGTGAACGAAGAATAGAGATCAAGATTTTCGTCATTAAGATTTTTTTTTTTTACAACCACACATTAATTAAAAAATCACTTCGTGATTGGTAACCCAATATGAAGGAAAAATGTTTACAAAAGATTTTCGTCATTAAGTTATAATCTACATTATTAGATTGCAAAACTCGACGAATTAGATTTTATATAAGTGAAATAGACTTGATGCACTTTATAACATCTTGTGACACAAGCATGACAAAATCAAACCCATCGAACTTGCTCTTTTCTCTCATGATAAATCACAAGCTATATGTTTGTAAATAAGTGAAAATTTATCTTGGAAAAGAAACTATGTTTCCACGTATTTAAAAAAAAACAAGAGAGTGGGATGACCAAAAACAAAACATAAAAACAAATTAACTATCCGATTAATGGGTTACAGTAAGTGGATAATTCATTTAACACTTTGAATCAAGATCAAATAAAAGTTAGAAGACAGTGAAGCGACAACATAGTCCAATACTTTGAGTTAAAGTAATACTATAATTTAGTAAAGTTTTTTTGTTATAATATAAAATTTAGTAAAGTTGATCTAATTACATTTTATAAGTTTAATCTGGTCATCGCTGGACCAAGTTGTCATCCTCCAATTCCTTACCAATCATACAAATTGATTATTGGCCTTTTCTTGGAATCATCTTTTTTTCTTTGTATTTTTTTTTTCATTCATATTTTTTCTTTAATACACACACATGCATGTATAAACACAGTTTTATGACTGGAAATATCGCGTAAGATCCATAAGCCAATAGCTTTTTATAGTAAAGTATTTTCATTTTATGGGTATAATTATAAAGATCTAAATTTTCCCAAAATAATATAAATAGCATCTCTTTTGCTGTCAAAAAAAAAAAAAAAAATAAATAAAAATAGCATCTCTCTCTCCTACTTAATCAAATCACTAGACGCGGCTTTGCTTAACAAAGTAACTTTAAACCAAATCGTCCACCTAAAACCATTAGGATTGATTTTGGTCAATAAAATCGGTTACTATTTTTTAATTTACTTAAAAGGCTGGTAAAATAGTTGCAAACAAAAAGGCTAGTTAGTAAATAAAACAAATTTGGTACTCAAATACTAAAAATAATACAGTATTTATTATTTAACATCATATTTAGTTTTCACGTTAACTAATAGTATATAAAAAAATTTATGAAAGAAAAACCAACTAATCTTTGATTATATGCGTTAGACCTAATTTAAACACTAGATTAGTACTACTTAACAAGCTTTTATTTTCTGTATAATATATCAAGAAAATGCTTCGAAATTAACTATACTTGATCAAAAATATAACTTTAGTCATATAATAAATTAGTAACTTCTGAAATAATTTGAAATAATAATAAAATACATAGATGTTTGCCCAAAAAAAAAATATATATATATATATAGATGAGAAATGACCATAAGTTCCAAATACGTTTAACTATTGTCATGGGTTTACAAATTAGTTATTATTTGAATCATTTGTTATATAATCTTAAATCAAATTTTAAATTGATTTTGCGTATATTTTTGCAAGTAAATAAAGTAAGAAATCAATTTTTCTTTTTTATCATAAATAAATATAGTTTCTTCTTTAGTTATGCACGCTGGAAATAGATCCACTAATAAAAATTGGACTTTTCAAACAAAGAAAATAAATAAATAAAATCTTCCTTTACAAAAACAAAGAGGAAAATTCAAAGAAAGGAGAACTCTCTTCTTCTTCTTCTTCTGTCCTCTTTATTTACTTAGTTGGTTCACTTGAGCACATGATCCTCGTCTCTCTTTCTTTCTCTCTCTCTCTCAATCACAAGTTTCAGTTACACAGCTGAACCAAAGTATCTCAGATTCTGATCTGATCACTGTTTTGTCTGTGAAACAAAAACAAACGATCCTGTTTTTATGGAAAATTTAATGAAACAGTGACGACTCAAAATCCTTCATTTTACTACACTTCTCTGTTTTCATCTTTATAATGACAAACATTTCATAGTATCAATATCCCAAACATCTCTTTTTTATTCTCTCCTCTCTCTTTCTTTGTCATTCATGGCTCCAAATTCAGTAGCAGTGACAATGGAGAAGCCAGACAACTTCTCTTTGTTAGAAATCAACGGTTCAGATCCATCCGCATTCCCCGACAAGCGTAAATCCATCAGTCCAAAGCAATTCTCATGGTTCCTCCTTCTCAAAGCTCATAGAGTCGTCTCGTGTCTCTCGTGGCTCGTATCTTCGGTTAAAAAGCGAATCGCGTTCTCCGCGAAGAACATAAACGAAGAAGAAGATCCTAAAAGCAGAGGAAAACAAATGTACAGATTCATCAAAGCTTGTCTTGTTATCTCCATTATTGCCTTGTCTATAGAAATCGTCGCGCATTACAAGAAATGGAATCTTGATCTCATTAACCGACCGTCTTGGGAGGTTTATGGCCTTGTCGAATGGTCTTACATGGCTTGGCTTTCGTTTCGATCCGATTATATTGCTCCTCTTGTCATCAGTCTCTCAAGATTCTGCACTGTCCTCTTCTTGATTCAGTCTCTTGATCGATTAGTCCTCTGTCTTGGTTGCTTCTGGATCAAATTTAAAAAGATCGAACCTAAGCTCAAAGACGAATCTATCGATTTAGAAGATCCCTCCAGTTTCCCAATGGTTCTTGTTCAGATCCCAATGTGCAACGAACGAGAGGTAAACTATAAATACCCTTTTCTTACTCTCTTTTGCTCTGTTTTTGCTCTGTTTTTACTCTGTTTTCACTCTGTTTTACTCTGTTGTGCTCTGTTTTTACTCTGTTTTTAGTTCTGTTGTGTAATTGTATTGTTCTGTTTTTGCTAGGTATATGAACAATCAATAGGAGCAGCTTCACAACTTGATTGGCCAAAGGATAGAATCTTGATTCAAGTTCTAGACGATTCAGACGATCCAAATTTACAACTTTTGATCAAAGAAGAAGTATCGGTTTGGGCCGAAAAAGGCGTAAACATAATTTACAGGCATAGGTTGATCAGAACTGGTTACAAAGCTGGGAATTTGAAATCAGCCATGACTTGTGACTACGTTAAAGATTACGAGTTCGTTACAATCTTCGACGCAGATTTTACACCAAATCCTGATTTCCTCAAGAAGACTGTTCCTCATTTCAAGGTAAGAACACAAATCTATCTATTACCTAACTTAAAAAAGGAAACTTCTTTCTTGAAGTAAGAAGTTTCGTAATTTACGTTGATGTTTTAGAAAGATTTGTTCTTTTTACACTTTTTTAATTTAGAAAATGATTTTTTGATTATACTCGTCACCGACAGTTGTCTTTGCTGTTTTTTTATTCTATTTTTTCGGTGGGTCATGTTCTAAGTAACCGACAATTTATATATTGTTTTAGAAAATCTAAGTTTTATTTGTATTTTTGGTTTTATGTTAGGAAAATCCAAGTTCTTATATTGTATGAAATCAAAGTAACCGACAAGTATAAAATTACAAAAATCATGACTTCTCTAGTTGATTTTTCCAGCATAACAAGTCTTCAAATGCAATCTTGATATTGTTTGATTCCGTGTTTCAATTATTCATTTGTTTTTACATTTAGATATATATATATATATATATATATATATTTATATTAGTATAATAATCATTGTTTTTATAAGTTTTTTTTTTTAAAAATCGAAGTTTAATTTATTTATTTATTTATTTATTTTTATGTACCCCCACCTAAAGAACATATCTCATTTTTCATGTGGGTTGTTGGAGTCGAACTCAAGATGACAGAGACGCCGATTTTAAGTAGACTAGTCAATAACTCAATATATTTTATCTAAATATATAAAAGTAAAATTTTTGGAATTTGACATTTATGCAAAACATTTTTGAAACAATCAAGATTCTGATTTTTATCTTAAAAAAATCAAGATTTTGATTAGAAAAATAAGAGAATTTTAAAGAGAATGTTGTGTTGTTTATTTGCAGGGAAATCCAGAACTAGGACTGGTACAAGCAAGGTGGTCATTTGTGAACAAAGATGAGAATCTCCTCACAAGGCTACAAAACATAAACTTATGTTTCCACTTCGAAGTAGAACAACAAGTGAACGGTGTGTTTCTCAACTTTTTCGGTTTCAATGGAACCGCTGGAGTATGGAGAATCAAAGCATTGGAAGAATCCGGCGGGTGGCTCGAGAGAACGACCGTGGAAGATATGGATATCGCGGTTAGAGCGCATCTCAACGGCTGGAAATTTATTTACCTCAATGATGTTGAAGTCACTTGTGAGTTACCTGAGTCTTATGAAGCTTACAAGAAGCAACAACATCGTTGGCATTCGGGTCCTATGCAGCTGTTCCGGTTATGCCTTCCTTCAATTATCAAATCAAAGGTAAAATTCGATTTCTATAACTAGTGGTAGTACTTTAACCGGTCGAAACATCATTACATATGTACTCATTTGTTTGTTTTGCGGATTTTGATTTTTGTTTGCAGATATCGGTTGGGAAGAAGGCGAATTTGATCTTCCTTTTCTTTCTTCTAAGGAAGCTTATTCTACCTTTTTACTCATTCACACTCTTTTGCATCATACTTCCATTGACAATGTTCATACCTGAAGCCGAGCTTCCGTTGTGGATCATCTGCTATGTTCCTATCTTCATTTCGCTTCTCAACATTCTTCCGTCGCCTAAATCTTTCCCTTTCTTAGTCCCTTACCTCCTTTTCGAAAACACAATGTCGATAACCAAGTTCAACGCCATGATCTCCGGGCTGTTCCAGTTCGGATCGGCTTACGAGTGGGTTGTGACAAAGAAAACCGGGAGATCATCGGAATCCGACTTGCTAGCGTTTGCTGAAAAGGAAGAGAAGTTGCATAGAAGAAACTCGGAGTCCGGTTTGGAGCTTCTGAGCAAACTTAAGGAGCAAGAGACCAATCTTGTAGGGCAAGAAACCGTGAAGAAGAGCCTTGGAGGGGTAATGAGGCCAAAGAACAAGAAAAAGACGAACATGGTGTTCAAGAAAGAGCTTGGGCTTGCGTTCTTGCTGCTAACCGCAGCTGCAAGGAGCTTTCTATCGGCGCACGGTCTTCACTTCTACTTCTTGCTGTTTCAGGGACTGTCTTTCTTGGTTGTAGGGTTGGATTTGATCGGAGAACAGATCAGCTAGATTCACACTAAATCAAGACAGAGAACAAGGAAACAAATACCGTTTATATTCGCTATTTTTTTGTTTGTTTTTTTATTCTTTTCCCTTTCTTATATGTGGGTTTTATACATAATTTTCAAGAACTTATAATGTCCAGTTTCAGATAAATGAATTGAAACGAATTTGTTATATGATTTTGGCATAACTTTTAAACATCACAGCTCTTAGATGTTATTGTTTATTGACTTACATATTTTTTGTTTTAACACTTGTTAAAGTGATATTTTTTTTCTTACAAATTTGGGAATTTAGTTTATTAATGAGAAAACTTGATTTTAATTTTTTTTCCTAATTTTAAAAGTTTTTTTTTAATTATGTTTTGGCATTTTTTCCTTTCTTGTCTTAATTTTTTACTTGCTCTGGAAGCAAAACCCCTAGTATATTGTATGTGTATATATTCAGCCGTTTGGCCAAGAGGAACAAGATTAGAAACATTGCGTGTTCTCAAAACTGAAACCGAAGACAAATCCTCAATCTCGCACAAGATTTCTAGGTTTGCTAAGCTTTCTTTCTAGAGTCAACACCGTTTCTTTGTTTGTTTTGTTCTCTCTGTCCGAGGCTTCTGTTCGATTCTGTTTCTAGGTTAGTGCATCAAGAACATCATGGGAATCTGGAGCTATATGGGGAAAACATCAGTATTCATATTTGGTCTTGGATTCTACACGCGTAAGTCGCTTTAAAGGATCTTCGGGGTCATTGTTTAGTTTATGATTGTAGTTGTTGTTTTGCTCTTTTGGAAATATCAATGTGTTATTTACTTTCCTCCAGATGCTGCTTTATTCTCTAATTCAGATAATAAGGTAAATATATTGATCTTTAATCCAGATAATGCTCTTAGCTTTTATAAAAAACATGATGATGGTTGATTGAATTTCTCATGTTTCAGATGCTTATGACTCAGTTGGAATCTTTCAAAGAGGTAAAAAAAAAAGCAAGAAATGGTGTTACTATTTTTAAAGGATACAAAATCTTTTCTTTTTCTTTTTCTATTCTGTCTATTCAAAATTTGTCTCTTAATGTGTCTAATTTCTCATTGTTTCAGACAGTTAAGGTTCAGATGGAGTCCTTTAAAGAGGTAAAAGAAAGAAATTGTGTTGTGTTAAAGTTGTTTGATTTGGAAAATACATAAAATAATCTTGTCCTGTTTCAGCCATCTAAAGCTCAAATGGCTAAGTATAGAGAAATGGAACAAAAGTTTGAAGCTAAGTATAAAAAAATGGAAAATAAGTTGGACAATCTTGTGAAGGTAAAAAATCAAGTAATTGGTGTTGATGTGTCTAAAGTTTGTTTGTGTGTTTGATTGACTTTGAAAGGACGCGATTATGTTTGATTTAGAATGTCTTCTTATGTTTCAGTTGTCTATGACTCAACTCTCCGAGTTGAAAGTAACTAGAGAGAAGTGTTGCAATGATTTGTGGAAAGCAAGAAAATACATAGAGGAATTTCATGAGGGAATGGATCAGAAGAGACAATCTAATTAAATTAGGCCTTTTATAAGTTGTTGTTATAAAGTCTTTTATGAGTGATCAATGATTTTAAGTGATTTCTTCCTCTATCTCTATATTCGTGGTCGTCAACCTTGTCCCATTTATGTTTGAATCTTGTTATACCCATCTTGGGGCATAACAAATTGGTATCAGAGCCATTGTTCCTCTTGACTATGGGTATGAATCGTAATGCTATATCACTTCTCTGATAGATGCTCGTTTGAGTAGAGTCCATTACAGGGGAAACTTGACCGGATATTCAAACCAGCAAGCCTTGCGAACGATGAAGCGATATGCAGAACTTGAAGCAACCAGAAACCTCAATCTATCAAAAACAAAATATTATAAAGGCTAAGTTTATACGATCGCAAATATTAAATATATATTGAATATGAAACTAAATGTCAAGCTGTTGTTTCAAGCTTCTATATAGATCAAATCAACATTTACTCAAAATCTGGAATGCATTGTCAAATTTCGAATATATATATTCGAAATTTGGAAACAACGGATCGGAATGCTAGGCTACATCGCTCGGAATATCGTCCCTGGCTACTGTCCTACCTATCTTGGCCAGATCATGTTCATCAGAGACAATCTTGCAACTTGGTTTCGTTTCTTTCGCTTTAAACACAAAATAAATCCTCTTTTAATGCTATGTGATGCATAATATTAGCCTTTAACTAAAAAGTTATACATGAAACTAGGATCGGTCGAACCTCAGTCCTCGGTTTTAATTAAAAAGCATAATATTGAAACGATGGTGTACAATGTAATTTTGACACTAGTAAAAACCGACCAATAAATTAAATAGATATTTAGGAGGAGGATCAATACTTTGTTAGACCATGGAAAAATAATTTCGTTAAAAAATTGGTTTGTAGTCAACTCTTTTTATGATTTTGACGGCCAAGTTCAATACAATGTACACAATGTGGGTCCACTAACATGCTTCACAAGAATCACAACTGTGTCAACCTATCATCACAAATTGTCCAACTTATCCTTAAAATTTATTTTTCTTATAATCAAACTACATGCCATAATCAAACTATTTCTTTTTGGTATTTTGATGTATCCAAAGTTTATATCGTACAACAAAGAAACAAATGTAGTCCGTTATCAGCTTTATAGTATTTGGTCCTGTGGCGCATGTATGACCACTAAAAAAATGAAAAATCGTGGAAACGTATGTTGTTTGAGAGGATTTTGATCTACTAGCTCCAACCAAAAAAAAAAAATTGAATTTACAAATTAGAAATCTTTTAAATAAAAAACACTATTGGTGTAAAATTATCAACAAAAAATGTTTTTAATATGTTTATTCCCTTTTTATTAGATGGAAAACAAAGGAAGACAGAAGCATTTTTGGATTTTCTTCACTGTCGATATCATTTCGATATTTTGGACAAGTCCAGTTGTATTTTGCTGTTATTTCCTATATTTGGGTATTACAAACACAAAATAACAATTCCTAACCAAACCCAAGACGCCTCTATATTATCATTCAGCACCGACATTATACAAAATTATAGAATCAAAAATATATTTTAAATCTTAATGCGGTGATTATTATATAGAATCATCACATAGATATTTGGACTTCCAATACAGCCCAAACAAAATTTCTTAAACTCAGTGCTTATTAATTATGATTTAGGGGACCATTCCGTTATTATTTCTGCATAGGTAAAGTAATACAGTATCATATATTTTCGAGAGAAATTCCCCAAAATAGCACTAAAACAAGTTTTATGGACAATTATAGCACACACTCCATAAACTTCCAAAAATAGCATTAGTTGATTAACTTTTAAGTTTTTGTTCTATAATTATTATCATTAGTTTATTTTTTCAATAACATCACAATTTTTATATACAAACTATTCAACCAAAATAAATTAGAAATAAATTTAAAATATTCTATTTGGGTTCTTTATTTCCAATTTAGGGTATATATTTCCACCATTTAAAAGAGATATTGATTCATTTTAATATTGAATTTTTGTTATTATGTTTGGGTTCATTAATTCCAATTTAGGGTATATATTTCCACCATTTAAAAAGAGATTTTGATTCATTTTAATATTAGTTTGTGGTATTATATTTGGGTTCTCTCATTCCAATTTAGGGTATATATTTCTACCATTTAAAAGAAATTTTGATTCAATTTAATATAAGGTTAGTGTTTGCTCTTATTTTCTATTTTAACTAAAGTTTAGGGTGCTATTTGTGGAATTTTTGAAATATTGTGCTAATTTTGGAAAAAAAACTTTTTTGGGGCTATTTTTGTCAATTGCCCGATTTTCAACTAACGTACAATTTAAATTTTAAAATAATCATACAAAATATGTACTGTAACATTTTGATTTCAAAAATATGATGGTACATACAAAGATGTTAATCTTTTCGGTCAAACATCGTGAGAGAATTCCACAGTTAAACGTGCTTGAGCTGTAGCAATTTCATGATGGATGACCTTTCGGAAAGTGATTGTCGGAACTGTGTGAGTGAGGACAAAACATAGGAAAATATCATGTGGTGATTTGTAGGACCGATAAACAAGTCTTTAAAGCCTCCCAGACATAGCGGACCGACCGCTGGACACAGGTGGACCCACGGACCGAAGGAAGACGTGGGATCCATTAAAAGAGGTGTGGCGGTCGAAGCGTTACAGGTACTATATTATCTTTTTTTACAACACAAGTTTATTAAAAATCGAAATAATTTATCTAAAAGAGTGTTATGTGCCAAAACTCATATACTACATTCTCAAAAATTACTATATAACAATAAACACTAGTAATGCGTGTCTTCTAAAAATTATGATGTTGCTTGACCGACGAATAAATAGTACAACTTGATTAATATTAGATTATTCCTAAGTGAGACATTTCTCTTTGATATTGGTGATAGATTTTATATAGAATTCAGTATATTTCTTTTAAATGAAAGTTGCTGTTTCAATATTTTGAAATTTATATTTATTTATATATATGATTATTCTTTTTTTTTTTTGTTAAAAGTTATATGATTTTTCAATTTACTCTTCGTGTCATTATATATATATATATATTAGGTAAACAAAAGTATCTTTTTTTACATTTTGTTTTGTTTTGTAAAAAGGTTGTTAGACTATAGAGTCAGGTCGGAAGAAAAACAGAGAAACTGAGCTTTTCATGTCATAAAATATGTAAATGAAATTTAAAAAATAAAACCCATCCATATCGTATATGCTGGATTACCGAATCGCCACGTAAAATTAAATAAATCAAATAAAATCCATAAGACTTTGTGGAGATTGCTTCACTGTCTTCTCCGCGTGGATGAGAGATCAATAACACATACAAAAAGAGTTTAGGCTGCATGTGAACTACGTAATGTCCGTCAATTTCTCTGTTTCCTCAATTTTCGCTAATAATTTAATTTATCTACTCGAATAATTGAACTAAACACATGCATTATCATTTCATTTATGTAATTAACCCAATTTTACATTAGCAAATTCTGTTTTTAGTAACTTCTTTTCCGAAACTTATACCTCTTCTTACTCTAGCTTTTACCCAAACATGTGATTGTACCTTTTCTTTGATCTCGATCAAATTTCACCAATTAACATTAAAAAAAAAACAAAAATCTCAAAAAATTTATTTGAATATTTCACGGATTTTTTTTTGTTTATAAAGAGTGAATAAATATACACGTGATAATCCTACATTAGTACATTTGTTCACAAATATAAGAAATTAGCCTCTCTTTTTAGAAGTAAGTAACATTTGATTAATTACGATTTGACCTTCAAATTAGTAACTATTCGCATATAATTTCAAAAATATGTTATTTTATCCGATAGGATACTATTTAACTTAAAAAAACATGTTGTTATTGATAATACACAATCATTTTTTCATCAAATAACACAGTAATTTATCCGATGTCACGCTATTTCATATATAATTTCGCGTATTTGTCAATCGCGTATTTGATTCTAATTTACCAATTTTGCCATCAAAATCATTTACTAGATCCGATCCCAAATTTAGATATTTACTACCTAAATAATTTCGCTTATTTGACTCTAATTTACCAATTTTTCCATCAAAGTCATTTACTAGATCCCAAATTTAGATATTTACTACCTAAATAACCCTTATAAATAATGGTAATTAATGTTTACCAAATCTACTATAGACTCAATGTTCAAATCAAAATAATTTATTTTCGTTTTCTGGATACCACACAATTTTTTAAAAAAGTTATTCAAAATAAAAATCTTTTAGCTTTAACCAATTTTATTTCAGCTGGCTCAAAATTGATTAATTCGAATCAAAATCTTTAGTACGTAAACTGTATTTTATTACCAACAAACCAATTCATATTAAATTAAAGTTATCACAAGTAAACCGGATCCAACCCAAGTTTTGACTTTACACACATCCCCGTGATTGGTGTAGACTGTGGACCGTACATCGGCGCGTGAGCTCCACTCTCTCTCCCACTTACTTCATCTCCTTCCATTATAATCCCAACCCTCTCACACTCTCTCTCTTCTCAACAATGGCTTCACTCAAATCTCTCTCCCTCCTCTTCCTCTTCTTCTTCACAGCTCAATCTCGCTTAACCACAAACTTCTACTCAAAGTCATGCCCAAGATTCCTCGACATAGTCCGTGACACAATCACAAACAAACAAATCACAAATCCAACCACCGCAGCCGCCGTTACCCGTCTCTTCTTCCACGACTGTTTCCCTAACGGTTGCGACGCCTCCGTCCTCCTCTCCTCCACCGCCTTCAACACCGCAGAACGTGACTCCTCCATCAACCTCTCACTCCCTGGAGACGGCTTCGACGTCATTGTCCGAGCCAAAACAGCTCTTGAACTCGCTTGTCCCAACACAGTTTCTTGTTCCGACATAATCTCTGTCGCAACACGTGATCTTTTGATCACCGTCGGTGGTCCTTACTACGACGTTTTCCTCGGCCGTCGTGATTCAAGAACTTCTAAATCTTCTCTTTTAACCAATCTTCTTCCTCTTCCTTCTACACCAATCTCTAAAATCATTCAACAGTTTGAATCAAAAGGTTTCAATGTTCAAGAAATGGTTGCTCTTAGTGGAGCACATTCTATAGGGTTTTCACATTGTAAAGAGTTTGTGGGTCGGGTGGGTCGGAATAATACCGGGTATAACCCGAGATTCGCCGTGGCTTTGAAGAAAGCTTGTGCTAATTACCCTAAAGATCCGACTATTTCTGTGTTTAATGATATTATGACTCCTAATAAGTTTGATAATATGTATTATCAGAATCTTAAAAAGGGTCTTGGGTTACTTGAATCGGATCATGGGTTATATTCTGACCCGAGAACTCGAACTTTTGTTGATCTTTATGCTAAGAATCAAGATCTGTTTTTCAAAGATTTTGCTAGAGCTATGCAGAAGTTGAGTCTTTATGGTATAAAGACTGGTAGAAGAGGAGAGATCCGAAGAAGGTGTGATGCTATTAATTGAGTTTATGTTTTTTTTTAAATTTATTTATTTTTGGGGAGATTTGGATTGTGAATCTTCTGAGTTACACTTATATGTTTTTGTGTAATGTAAAACAAATATGGTTGATTGTTCTAATTAAAGATGGGTTTGGTACAAAAATTGTTAACCTTTGTGAAGAGATTGAATGTGATGATTATGTAAAGCAGTAAAGGATAGGTTCAGTGAGAGTAAACCAAGCTAAAGTAGTTAGTTTGAGTTTGGTAATGACTCATTAGTGGCTGATTGATAATTAATATGTTGGTTGAAGAGATGTGATTTAGTGGATCCGGAGTTGGTAGCTCAACAGGTGAACTTCTGGAGTGTTTAGGAGGTTTAAAATTTGAGCATCAACAATAAAGAGGGATTTACATTACTTAACTGTATTTTGGTCTTTGGTTCGAAAAGATTATAGGTTTTGGTCCGGAACTTCTTTGTGATATGAAAATATTAAGTGTACTCACAATTTATACATTGGTTTCTGGTAAATTTGTAAATTTATGGTGTTTGATTTCTATCTTGTGACAGAAAGTGGTATTTAAAAAAAAAAGTTGTATGTTTTTTCAAAATGGGCTAAAGTAAATATTGCCCAAAATGGGCCTAGAAACATCTAAAACCGCGTTGGTCTATAAAAAATTATTTTTTCAATCCAAATAAAGAAAACTTAAAATTGACAACGAAAAGAAAAATCCAACTTGGACGCTGGCTTCGTCTCTAAGTCAGCCCCAGCCTCTATATATACACATAATCAAGAACACAAGACATATTGAAGAATAACAAAAACAAGAACATACGAAGAAGAAGAAGAGAAGCTATGGCAGGAGGAGGAGGAACAGAAGCGTTTCCTGATCTTGGAGAGCATTGCCAAAACCCTGATTGCAAATTACTCGATTTTCTCCCTTTTACTTGCGACGGCTGCAAATTGGTAAGCAATTTTCTTCAGACAGTTTCAATCTTTTTCTACAATTGAATGTTTCTTGATTTAAGAATCTTGTGTGTGAAGGTGTTTTGTTTGGAGCATAGATCATACAAGTCTCATAGTTGTCCGAAATCTGATCACGGAAGCAGAACGGTTTCCATCTGTGAAACATGTTCTATAGCTATTGAAACAACTGGTTTTGATGAAGAAGGAATCAAATCTTTGCTTGAGAAACACGAAAGATCTGGAGATTGTGATCCAAACAAGAAAAAGAAACCAATATGTCCTGTAAAACGTTGCAAAGAGATTCTGACTTTCATGAATAACCTTACTTGCAAAGATTGTGGAATCAAGTTCTGTTTGAAACACCGGTTTCCGGCAGATCATGTTTGTAACAAGAAAACCATAACTACCGCAAGAACAAGCTCGCGGTGGAACGAGAGGTTTATGGAAGCTTTAAGTTTGAGAAATGAGAAAGGCTGTGGAAGAGGAAGCTCTGTTTCATCAAGATCTCCACCATCAGTTAGATCCTTTTAGTTTCTTCTCTTGTAACAACAGTTTGCATCAACCAAATCTTTCTTTACGTTCTCATGTATTTTCCATTGTTTGCAAAAAGAAGATCATGCAATTATTATTGGTATGTTTTAGTATAATAAGATGTGTTGAGGTCTATAATGGCACCCGTTTCTGATGAACAAAAACCGATAAAATTTTCGATACAGAGGTGAAAAATACACAAGCATATACTGTAAGACCTTAATATTTCAACATAGGCACAATCTCATATTTGTAAAGTAAATAACATAGAACAAGTATCAAATATCAACAATACCAAAAGGATGATTGAAGAACGGAGATTGACGGTGGTAAACAGAGTCGAGAACTTTGATGATCTCTTTCCTTAACTCAAAAATCGCCCCGTAGTGCGCCGGTTTGATGACAATTAGAGTCCCAAGATAAAACTGTTTCTCCTTTTGATTCACAACACTCAAATCAAAAGCTAATTGAACACTAGCTTTGTGTTGTACTCTCAGACTCGAACTAGAGAAGAGAAGAAGAAGAAGGAGATTGTTATGTCGTTGAACGTGTATCAAATGAGGTGAAGAAACTTTGCTTATAAAGCCAAAGCCTTCAACGACGTAATCAAGAGGAGAATCTCACGTTAATGACAATTTGATGAGAATTAATATTCAACATTAATTGTGATTCATTGAGATTGTGTCGTTACAAAAATCAACTTTTAAAGTAGATATTTGTTGAATTAGTCAAACAAATGACTTACACAAATTTGAGCAACTATGGATACTTATTTGGGTTGTAAGCCCATTACTCAAATCTCAAATCTCAATTCCCAAATCCGGTCTAGTTCGGTACGACACGGTTCGACACAATAACATGTGCGGTTTGGGTTTCTTCTCTTAATTTCCAAAGTGCGATATTTGACCCTTAGTCAAATTTCAAGCTTTCCAAGCTAGCCACTTTAGACCACCATTTCTCATTCAAACGAACTCCGTTTTTGACATTCTAATACACCACCACGTAGTGCTCGCAGCAACGATTCCATCGTGCCCAAGAATTGGTCATTCCGATGAACGTCTTCACAAGAAAATCCACCGTAACAATGGTCAAAACCATTTTGTCAAAAACAAGTTCCAACATATACGAGTATCTACCACCGCGAAGATATCTTCGTATCGTTAAACAACATAGCACAGTTTCCCCAATGAATTATCCAATCAACTTCTATCTGAATACTAATGATTTGGTAAAACAGATTCAGCTTTGATTCTTGATACAATAACTTCTTTCTGATAAATCATGTGAGCCTGCTAGATTCTCTACTAAGCAATCACAAGAAGAAACATAAATCTTTCTCTATATATTGCTTACTTATGTAGCAAGAAAGGTAAAGAGTTTTATTGTTTTGACCTCTCTATCTCAATGGAAAACAAGGACAATTCCAAATCCATTGTTACTTCATCTCTCTTGGTTCATTATCTATCCCCAACCCTTCATTGGGAGGTTTGTTCTGCACAGCTTGAGACCAAACAAAATTGCTTAAACCGGGATTAGCATATGGACGATAACCAGGAAACGTAGCCAACAAATCAGGCATTGTCGCAACCCTAGAACCACCTCCTTCTCTTCCTCCATCATCGACGTCTCCGCCAACATCGGCAGTAGTAGTCTTCTTCTTAACATCAATCGAATCAGGAATCTCTCCTTCCTCTACATCCCCAGTACCATCACGTTTTCAACGTTGCCCATTTGATTTAGGGTTCTAGAACAACCCCCTTATAAGCCCAAAAGGGAGCCGAAAAAAGCCCAAAAAGCCCAACATGCTTGATCGAGCCATAAGCATGTAAATCTCAACACTATTGCTAAAACGAATAATCTGAATTGAAAATCGCCCCCCTTATAAGCCCAAAAGGGAGCCGAAAAAAGAAAAACTCAAAAGAGAAAATAACAAAATGCAGCCCATTAGGCCCATAACTGCATACAACAAAAGATAAACATTAGAAGACACGTTACTATTTCCAATGTTTTGGTCTTTGATAAATCCAAATTGATGGAGACCATGACTCCTGCAATTTCAAGAGATGAATCACCTCTCTTATTCTTTTCACTGAAGGTACGTACATGTCTTCTCACTTTAATCTTACAGTTGAAGAGACCATATAGTTTTTGGTTTGGAATTTTATTTTACTCAGAAGGTTACAACTTTACAAGGTTGTCTCAATTGATTAAAGGCTTTGTGTTTCATTCCATTAATTTAGTGTTCTATTAAAATTGAAGAATTTACGAAAGTGTATGACGCTTAATTTATACTTATTTTTGTTCTTTGAAGAGGTCAACACTATCCCGCTCAGGGCCGGTCCTGAAATTTTGGGGGTCCAAACAAATTTTCGGGTAGTTAAAGTTTTATAAAATTAGGGATCTCTTTTGCAAAAAAATTATAAAACTGGGAGCCTATTTCCTAAATAAAAACAACTGGAAATTTTGGGGGCCCTAAGCCCATGTTTCACCTTGATGGGCTCAGGGCCGGTCCTGATCCCACTCTTATATTGTTGCCACTTTGCTTATCTTCTTTAAATGGAGTTATTTTTGTGCTTGATGTAGTTCTTTATTCAAAAGACAAACAAAGTGTTTGGTAATAATTCTAGCGAATCTTAAGGTATGGTAATTAACTGCTGAAATCTTAACTATCAAAAAACTGATTTATGAGAGTTTTCAAAGATTTCTTCTTCCGACGTTTTATGTATCCAACGCAAATGTCACTTTGGATTATGACAAGGCACGTGACGATCTAACAAGTATAACCTAGATGTTTAAAGATCTTAGGGTTCATATAAAATCAACTTACATAACTCACTTAGTATGTTCTCAGTTTGTGAGTTCAAACATTACTTTTCTGGCACATAGCTCTGTAAATAACAAAGTGTAGCTTATTGTCAAGCAGAAAATGACTCCAAGCGAACTAGCGAAGTTAAAGAGGTGTACGGTTGAAAAGTGTTAGTGGTTTAATCTAGATCCTAGAATACTGAGTCAAGAGACATCTAGAGATTCTACATCGACCTCACAGTATTTGGAATGGAGCCAACTTCACCTTCGTTGTTAAATTTTGTGTTGTTTGATGACAGTTTGATCGTTAGGTCGGAATTGTCTTTATTTGTAGTGTATGTGGGTTTGGAAAACTCATGATGTCCATCGTATCTTCAAAACATGGTGTTGTGCTTTAAATTGGTCATTGACTCATTGGGTGCTTCTCGTTAATTCGTCGTCATGGTAAATTAGGTACAACGTCGACAGTTCATTTTTAGTTGAAGACACGTATCAAAATTTTAACTATATTTTTCTATTTTTAACTATATACCGTCGTCATCCAGAAAACATTTTCCAAAAAAGAAGACCAATCTAGAATTCGTATCTGGTGATATCTTAAACTAAACAAGACACGTATCCACGTGAATCTCAAGACATATAAACATATAAAATTTCCATGACTTTTTTATTTTAAAAATTATTGATTGTAGTATGAAATAGATAGTGATGAATTATTTACAACTTTGCTAAATAAAATTAATATCTCTTTATCCTAAATTTCTATCTTTTTTTTTTCTTTCTAATATACGCATGCATTGGTTTCTTTCTGATTAGCCAATTATACATAATTTTCCAGTAAAACATTATGTGTTGCCTTTCTAAAATTCAATTTCTTTATAATTTTATTTGTTTATTTATACTCATCTATACACCCACTTACTGTTTTTGTCTTATTTGTAGTTTTATATTATGACTCATCTTTTTTTGGGTGTATAAAATATATACAACTAAGATCCATTAATTTCTCCCACTAGGGAAAAAAGAAACTCCAATAATTATTCATTACAATGTTTAGGCTATAAATTAAACCGTCACACTTTTTTTTTTTTTTTTTTTTTTTAAACGAAAATAATCACACTATAAATTATCTTTTACGGAGGTACGCGCAGGTTGTTACGTCGTGCGGAAAAAAAAAAAAAAAAAAAAAAAAAAAAAAAAAAACCGTCACACTTATAGTACCATATTTACTTAACCAAACATGTTTGAAAAGGGGTTGATAATAAAAGAAGAAAACATGTTTCAAGAGGAGAAGAGAAAGACAAACTATGGAACAATTTGCTTGGTTTGCTTCTTTTGTTTCTTTTTTGCATTCCAATTCATGAAACTTGTAACAACACAACCTTCGACAACAACATCAACCATTTCCGTTATCGATAGTCCAATCTCCTCCGATAAGCTCTCTGACAGGAGAGAGTATTGGAGCATTCGTCCACCTTCTACTTACTGTCTCAAAATCGAATCTTTCAGAAAACTTGCCAATTCCCCAAACATCGAGAAGTATGAATCCCGTCCATTTCCCTCCGGTGGATATAATTGGTAAGTATTGTTTTCTATTCCTACAGTTTTGTGCATTTCCTTGCATCACAAGTTATGACCATTTTCACTTGGAAACAGGACACTTATTGTCTATCCAAAAGGAAATAAAAAGGATGGAGGTGAAGGACAGGTTTCACTATACGTCCAAATAGACAATTCGACACTCCTTAACTCTCCAAAAGAAGTTTACGCAGAAGTCAAATTCTTCATTTATAACCGGAAAGAGGACAAGTATTTGACATATCAAGGTACATCCATAACTAGGTCTCTATTTTTTTTTTTTTTACTCTCATTTAAAATTTTCTTTGCTTATATATATAATCTCTAGTGTATATTACTCAAAATTTCACTCTAAATTGTAGAAGAAAAAAACAAATGGACATTTTACAAGTTCTAAATAGTAAATATATTAGATGACAAACTGAATAATTTTTTGCAAAACAAACTTTTTGAATATGATTCAAACGTACATGTAAGAATTTTGTTGAAAATAAATAAAAATGGAAACGTTGATTGTTGTTACATAACTTCAAACGCCAAAATTTGTGTTTACAACATACACTTGTTTTTGTCCACAGAGACGGATCCAAGGCGTTTTTTTCTGTTCAAACCGTATTTTGGACAACCTCGAACCAAATCCTACGATGAGATCTCCAATCCTGATCCCAATGCTGGTTATAATTTCGACGGTGACACTAATTTGTTCGGTGTGGACGTTTTTGTTACTGAAACTTAACAACTGGGAAGTGTTCTCCTTCACTGAGAGTTTGCATAACCGCCTTTTTTACATGGACGCTCATTAACTTCTCGTTACTGATAAAAGAGTTCTATGTATCGGGAGTGTTCGTGATCGGAGGAAGAAGCTGGTAAGTTCATCATAAGTTTAAAGATTTTAAAGTAAATATTGACCATTTACGAGTTTTCTATATGCAACTCTTAATTAGGACTTTGAAAGTGTATCCAAGTGGTGACCGAGAAGCACAAGGAAACTCATTGTCGCTATACATCGTTGCGGCTGGTATTAAGCCGTACGAAGAGATTTACCTAAAAGCTAAGCTACGAATCCTAAACCAGAGAGACACTAATCATGTGGAGAAGAAAGGTAAACTATATTGGAAACATAATATTGTGAGGTGACTAATGTTACTTACTCTATTAATGTTGTTTTGTCATAATCTTATTGACAGTTGAAAGCTGGTCCGATCAAGAAAACAGTTGGGGTTTCGAGAAGTTTGTGTCGTTTGCTAATCTTACGGATACTTCTAGGGGTCTTCTCGTGAATGATACGTTGAAGATGGAAGTTGAATTTGAAGATTTCTCTAACACAAAATACTTTCCAAGTTAGGTTTTTGCTGATGTGTTACAATCAGCTGGACTGGAAAGTTTTGAACCGGACCAGAATAATTAACCAGATCTTTGGGTTATTTCTTTTAATTGCTTTTGTGTTAATAAGAGGAGACTTGTTCTTCTTAATGTTTAGGAGCCTATCTCCCATTTTTCTCAATCCTCTTGTCTTGTGTTTGTAATTAAGAATCGTTGATTCTAAGCTCCTTTGTAATGGTTTCCCTAATAAAAGAAAATCTGTTTTAATTTGCCAATGAAAAACTCTTGGACTTAATTTTAGTTTAGCATAAACTTAAGTTTGGCTCAATGATAAAATTAATTTTTATCGGACCAACCCCAGAATTATGCTTAAGTTCTAGAATTTGTCTTTTAGAATTACTTTAGAAAATTATCACTTCTAAGGAATACTATAAAAGATATTTAGATATTAGTATTAAAAATCTAGATTTTTATAAACTAAAATCCAAATATTATTATATATTATTGTAGAAATTATTTAAAAATCTGTTTATATAAAACTTTGTCATCCAAAATTAATTATTAACGTTTAATCGATATATTTAACACGTATTGTTGATTACGGAAGCTCTATATTAAAAAAATGTACTTCAGCTAACCCCAAGAATTATAATCGGATGAGCCATGCATGAATCATGACAATGTCTGTTAGCGCTGGCAAATTAACTAAACTGAAAGTATCGAACCTGAACCAAAGCAAAAACAACCGAACCGATATTTAAAAATATCTGAATAGATCCTAAATTCTAAAACCGAACCGACATTGAACCGGAATATTTCGGGATCCGAAATATAATTATAGATAGAAAATGTTAGTTATTTTTAGACTGAATAATTCAAAAATAATGGAAATATATACAAAATACCAAAAATACCCAAAGAGGAGGTATCCCCAAACACTCCTTCCTCACTTGGGTGGTAGCTCGTCAAAGATTACACACCCGAGACAGGCTTATCCGTTGGGGACTTTATGTCTCCTTTGCAACTCTTTTGATGAGACTCTTCAACATCTACTCTTCGATTGTGTTTTTTCTAATAAGGTTTTGTCTTTCTTTTCATCTAAAGCTCATGTTTTTCCTCCAATTCTTTTAGAACATGGACTTAGATGGATTAAAGACCCTTGCCGAAACAAAAACATATCATTGATTCTCAAGCTTCTCTTCCAAGCCTCTATCTACTCGATTTGGAAATAAAGGAATTCCCGACATCACTCTCAGTCTTCTCGTCATCCGAAAAGTATGATCCTCGATATTCCGAACTCTCTTAGGTGTAAGCTTGACCCTCTCTCTAGGGCACACTGCTACAACTCTGTTTCTCTTTTATCTACTTGGTTTGAAATTTTCCAATCTTAGTGTGGTAAGTAGGTAAGGTCTGTAACCTTTGTATTTCATTTCTGTCATTCCTTTGCTGTAACTTGTTTATTTTAATGGAAACAAAAACATGGTTAAGACGTAAATAAATATATAATTTATTAAGACGTACACAAGTATAATTTATTATTCAAATCAATATCATATTGTTAAATTTCGGTTCAATATTAATTTGGACCAATTAAGTATTCTCATTTTACTATGATTGAGTATTGTTAATTTATGATATCACATATTCTAATTTAGTAATTAACATCAAACCTAAACATAAACAATAAATTTTAACAGTCGAGTAAAAAAAAAAAAAAAAATTTTAACACTCGAGTGATAACGGCTCCATCTACATTATTTTTCAAGATAGTCCCAGTTTGAACTTCTAACCATGTTGTTGTTGTGAACAACCAAAAAAGAAAATTTTTCGTAACTGAATAACACTCGAGTGATGGTTTTCTTTCAACACTTCAAATGATGTAATTTCTTCATCTGGCTCCACCGTCAAGTCTCTTGAAATGGTTAAATAAATTTTAACTTATGTACACATCGAATGCTCATAGCTGCAAAACAAAAGGATCACACAAAGTCACTAGAAGAAACATTGACTAAAGACATCTCCAAAGGGGATCTCAAATTTGAGGTTTAGGGTTGTATGTCTCCAAGAAAATATCTCAAATTTAATTTCAAAAAAATATTGTATTTTGCATAATAGTCCTTGCTATTGATTATAATTACATAAAACCATATATAAAACTTTTATAAATAACAATAAAACATACATTAAAAATATTACAAGAAATATTAAATAATAAGATATTACATTATAAAATAAAATTGCACAAAATAATAATAAGAACACAAACGAAATGATAAATTAAAACTTAATTACCAAATTATTTAACCTAGGTATTTCCGTAATGCTCCCATATATGATCAATCAATGCATTTCAAAGAGCTAGATGAGTCCTTTTATTTTTTATCTGAAGAGTACGAGATAAAAATTGTTGAAATCGAGTATTTTCGTTTATTACCATAAAATTTTAAGGACTAATATGATAAAATAATAACTTAGTAAAAGTATTTATAAGATATAAATAATTGTAAGGACCAAAATATAAATAAAAAAAGATGAAATCTCATAGTTTCACTATTCATTACCTCAAAAATTGAGGTTCTAAGGTTGCATTTTGAGAACCTAAAACCTTATATTTGAGGATTTGAGGTCTCCTTTGGAAATGCTTTAAACCCATAAAATCATCTAAAGATTCAAACCTGGACTTTTTCAAAAGGTGGAATTCATCAAAAAAACGTTCAAACTCTATTAAACTTGATTAGAATTTTTAAAATCTCAAGCTTAATAGATAAATCTCAGCTAAAGTCATTTTCAAACAAAAAGGGGATTTTGTTTGTAAACAAGACCATGTCTTAATGAATCCCAAAACTCAACCATTTTTAATAACCAGTAAGTGAAACAGATTATAAAAAAAATCAAGCAAGAAGATGTTTTAAAGACGCTACTTCTGAAAATAGAACAGAAAATGCACTCAAGCAACTAATAAAAAAAATCTGATCTTCATATGATTATTTCTTTCACAAAAACCAAACTCAAATAGGCAAAAGATACGATGGATCTTTGTTGTATGTTATTTCTGATTTTTTTTGTCAGATATCCATAGAGATTGCAACGAAATAGAAAGGGAGAACTCGAGATTCTAACCTGGACTTTTTCAAAAGGTGGGAATTCATTGAAGAATCGTTCAAACTCTTTGTGTTGCTTGCATTTACTTTGAACAACACAGTAAACCTCCATAAACAATTTTGGGAACCGAAGATCAAAATAGCTATATACCCCATCAAGAAAAGGTGGGTGAGAAATCAAAACAATAATTAGAATAACTATTTAATATGATTTTTTTTATTTATTTTGACGATTGACTTGTTTATAAGGGCAAACCATGATATTCGGTGGAAGTTTTATGAAATGATTTTGGGTGTTTTTGATAAGTCTTACTAAATCGCAAAGCCTGGAATAATTGTACTTTGATCGTACTGTACTCGTCAAGGCGTTCGGGTTCACGTTCACCTTGTTGATGTTATTGAAGAAGACAATATCTAGCATATGATCCCAACTTAGAACTCCTACTCCTACAACCTTTACAAATATATTTTAGAGATCACTTTGCAGCTGAAAACGACCATAAACATGGTCATTGACTTCTAGTATGAACTCAAGTTTCAGATGAAAATTTCAGAAAAATGGATGCCTTAGAACATCTCTTGCATTGGGGCTACAAAAAAATAAGTATTTATTAGTAAATAGTTTATGTCAGAACTTAAAAAGTAAGTTGATAGTTTCAAGGGTCAGGACTCGACGAGATTGCAATACCTACCGTTTAACAGGATTTAAGTCCACCAAAAGTGGGATCAAGTCAGCGGCTTCTAGAAAGTATGAGATTGCATCGAAATTCTTCCTGTTATTTTTGATGTTTTCTTCAATATTGGCAGTCCCTCCTCATGAAAATGGATGCTTACGCCGAGTAATAACGTAGAACATCAGAATTCCAAAGGCGAACATGTCGGCCCTATTAGTTTTCTTGCCGTACTTGGATTGATCTGATGGTTTATATCCCGGAAACTTTTCATCTGTTATAGAGGCGTTTTTAGAGTTCATCAATCAATCCATCAATATAAGGTATAAGAACACACAACAACAAAAATTATATCTCCAACATAGTGACTCAAGGATTGTTCCTTTTCAGCCCTAGCGATTCTCATCATTAATTTATCTGGGGATATGATTTACAGCAGATGGATACTGCGAAGTAGGTCATGATCCATACTATCAACATGATTTAAAATCAAAGATTCATTATAGGCAGAATGGTTACCAATTTGGTTTGCAAGGTGGTGTAATGTTAAGTTGCAGTTTGGTGTTATTTACTTGACGTGCCTAGGTGGATGGAGGTGCAGATGAAGAGATTTCTACTCTTAAGAATTTCAACCAATTATGAAAGAGACTTTATATAATATATAATTATAAAATATTAAATTAATCTATAATTTGTATAGAAACTTGAAAATATTTTCTATTGTAAAACATTTTTTTTTTTCCAAAACATCTTATATTATGAAACGAATGGAGTATGGAACAAATATTGTCCCGCGGTATACCACAGGTTAAATTCTAGTATAATAAGATAAAAGAGAATAAATATCTGGGACAAAAATGATCTTTTACATTTTAAGAAATAGTAGATTAGAAAAAGAGGAGAGGAAAGTAGTAGATTTGAAAATGTTTTCAGAAAATATGATAGATATGTTAATGTTTCTTTCTTTAATTTTTTTTTTCGTCAAAATGGATGATTATATTATATGGTTTGAGAAATCGCTATGAAGCGCGTTTGTCATTACATGAGGAACTAAACTGTGAAAATAAAAACTTGAATTAAAAGGAATTTGGTGCTTTGCTAAGAGATATGCAGGTACATTACTACTTCGATGACACCAGTGAAATTGACAATCTGTGAATCTTGATCTCCAAATACGAGCTTCCCTGATCCAGTTGAACATACCAAAGTTGAGTTTGTTGCCATTGAGTAAATTTTCCACCTCTTTATTGTCACCTTCAAAGCAAACTCTCTTGAAACCTTTGCTCCAACAGTTCTGCATTGAAATAATTAAGGCTTGGAATTCACTTTCTAAAGCATTACATGTTCTTCTCCCCTTTGCTTGGCCCGCTCCCAGAAATGTTCCTTTATCATCCCTTAATACCCAACCTGCATGTGAGTGTAAACCCGCAGTGAAAGAACCATCATAATTACACTTAATCCAATCCCGTTCCGGTTTCTCCCATCTTGAGTCTAATTGTCTTGGATTAGAGTTGTGATTTTGAGACATCGAGAATTTTTTGATTTTATTTTTAGTTTTTTCTCTTTAACAATACTTTTATTTTAAAATATATATAATCCAGGTTAATGTAAAAATTTGTTTTTCTATGTATTTTAAAATTATATAGGTTTAAATATAACTAATATTTAAAAAATAAAATATTTAAATATTATTAATATTTTAAACGTTTTATAATATTCTCAAGATCTACACTTGGGGATATAAGACCATCTCCAACAGGGAGTTTTTAAGAGGTATTTAACATTAATTTTTACAAAAACTAAATGAATAATTGGTTTAAATTCTAAGAACCCACTCTTATATAAGAGCCAAAGAACCAGTTTTTAGCATTAATTTTTAGCATTTCTCTATCTTCTTATTTTTGTTAATATCTCTGGAAAACCCGTAAAATTCGATCCGAACCTGAACCCAAAAATTAGATTTATTCTATTGGGTCTAAAACTCATAAACCCGAACCTGAAAATACTCGAATGTTTTATTCGAAAAATTGAAATTTTATCCCAAATTTGAATTTTTAACCGAAAATCCGAATATTTATCCGAAAAATCGGGTATTTACCGGAAACCGGGTATTTATCCAAAAACCTGATAATTTACCCGAATGTTTATATAGCGGGTATTTAGCGGTTCTGAAAATCTATATCCGAACCGACCCAAATCCGAAAGGATCTAAACCGAAACCGAACCAATTTTATGATTTAGTTTATTGGGTCCTAAACTCTTCTACCCGAAAGATCCGTTACCGATTTTTTTATTTTATAATTTGCAATAACTATTAAGTTTGTTGTTTATTTTATTTTTTTAAAATTAAATTTTTTTTATTCTAAAATTCTAAACTTAAGAACCTACCATTGGATACATATAATATTTAAAATTATTACAAAATATTTTAAATCTAAAATTTTCAAAATTAATATTGAAACTAAAGTTAAGAGTTATGTTTAAGAACCTATCCACGACCACGAGGATGGCCTAATATTAATGAGTGCTACAATATTAAAAAAAGTATTATCAATAATAGTCGTATGTTTGACGGGAAAACAAAAAAAACATCCTCTTGCTAGCGAGCGTGTTGAAGTCAAAAGTCGCCATTTTTGTCAGTCCTCTCTCTCTCTCTTTTGCTTCATCTTCATCTAAAATGGTGAGAATCAGAAAACCCATCTCGTATTCACTCAGATTTCTCAGGGGTTTTTGTTGAACTCTTAATTCTTCCTCTTCATCTGCTTCTTCCTCTGTTCTTGAAATGCGTGTTCATCGTCTGTGTGTGATCTTCATCTTCCTCGCAGAGCTACTATGCTTCTTCTGTTCCTCGGAATCTCAGACCACCTTCACGTGCCATCCACATGACCTCGAGGCCTTGCGTGACTTCATAGCCAATCTCGAACCAAAACTAGATGGTTGGATCAATTCTTCTTCTTCTACAGATTGCTGTAATTGGACCGGAATCACCTGCAATTCAAACAACATCAGAAGGGTCACTAAATTGGAGCTCTTCAACAAAAAGCTGTCGGGGAATTTGTCGGAATCTCTTGGGAAGCTAGATGAGATTAGGGTTCTTAATCTTTCTCGGAATTTCATCAGAGACTCGATCCCTCTATCGATTTTCAACTTGATGAATCTACAGACTCTTGATTTGAGCTCTAATGATCTCTCCGGCGAAATCCCAAGAAGTATGAATCTTCCATCGTTGCAAATTCTTGATCTTTCTTCCAATGGATTCAATGGTTCGCTTCCGTCTCATATCTGCCATAACTCTACTCAAATTAGGGTTGTGAAACTTGCGGAGAACTACTTCGCCGGAAATTTCACTTCTGGGTTTGGGAAATGTGTTTTTCTCGAGCATCTTTGTCTTGGTGTGAATGATCTTACTGGTAATATCCCTGAGGATTTATTTCATCTCAAAAGTTTGAATCTTTTAGGGATTCAAGAAAATCGTCTCTCTGGTTCGTTGAGTCGTGAGATTAGGAATCTCTCAAGTCTTGTTCGTCTTGATGTTTCTTGGAATTTGTTTTCTGGTGAAATCCCTGATGTGTTCGAAGAAATGCCTCAGTTCAAGTTTTTCTTAGGTCAGACCAATGGATTCATTGGAGGAATCCCTAAATCGTTGGCGAATTCGCCGAGTTTGAATCTGCTTAACTTGAGGAACAACTCGTTATCCGGTTCTTTGCCGTTGAATTGCACGGCGATGATTGCTTTGAACTCTCTTGATTTAGGTACTAATAGATTCAATGGGTCGTTGCCTGAGAATCTCCCGGGTTGCAAGCGGTTAAAGAACGTTAACCTCGCGCGAAACGCCTTCCATGGACAAGTGCCAGAGAGTTTCAAGAACTTCCAGAGCCTATCTTACTTCTCGTTATCGAATTCGAGTTTGGTTAATATCTCTTCTGCGCTTGGGATACTTCAGCATTGCAAGAACTTGACGACTTTGGTTCTTACATTGAATTTTCATGGAGAGGCTTTACCGGATGATTCGAGTCTTCGTTTCGAGAAGCTTAAGGTGCTTGTAGTGGCGAATTGCAGGCTTACTGGTTCAATGCCGAGTTGGTTAAGCTCCAGCAATGATCTTCAGATGTTGGATCTTACTTGGAACCGTTTAACCGGAGCTATCCCGAGCTGGATTGGTGGTTTCAAAGATATGTTTTACTTGGATTTATCGAACAACTCGTTTACAGGAGAAATCCCCAAGAGCTTAACTCAGTTGCCGAGTCTCACAAGCCGAAATATCTCATTCGATGAACCATCTCCAGACTTCCCCTTTTTCATGAAAAGGAACGAGAGCGCGAGAGCGTTGCAATACAATCGGATATTCGGGTTTCCGCCAACGATTGAGCTCGGTCATAACAATCTCTCTGGACCTATATGGGAGGAGTTTGGTAATCTAAAGAAGCTTCATGTGTTTGATCTTAAATGGAATAAGTTATCAGGATCCATTCCTAGCTCTCTTTCGGGTATGACGAGCTTGGAAACTCTTGATCTGTCTAATAATCATCTTTCAGGATCAATCCCGGTTTCTCTGCAAAAGCTCTCGTTTCTGTCCAAGTTCAGTGTTGCTAATAACAATCTCTCGGGAGTAATCCCTTCTGGTGGTCAGTTTCAGACATTTCCAAACTCGAGCTTCGAGAGTAATGATCTGTGCGGTGAACACAGATTCCCCTGTCCCGGAGGTACAATAGATAGCAGTTCTGACAGAACATTGATCAAACGGTCAGGAAGAACCATAGGCGCTGACATTGGAATGGCGATTGGGAGCGGGTTTGGTTCGTTTTTCATTCTTACTCTTCTCTTGTTGAGTGTGCGTGCTCGTAGCGGTCAGGAGAAGTTGATCCGGAGATAGAAGAATCCGAGAGCATGAATCGCGAAGTACTCGGAGAGATTGGATCGAAGCTTGATGATGTCTTAAAGAAAGATTAAATATCTCTGCAGATATTTAATCTTCAGAGACAATACCACTATGCAGGGAGTGATTTTCATACTTTTGGGATACAATGTAAATAGTTTCCAGCGAATAATTTGTTTCTTAGTTTTTTTTTTCTTTTTTTCATTTGTATCTCAATATATGATTCAGATATTGAAGATACTAGACAGAACATAAACATATAGTGTCTGATAAAACTGAAAAATCTTTTGTAATTTTTTACAAATAATGAGTTCTTGAAGAAACCTGTCTAAAAGCATTTTAAATTAGTGATTTGCAAAAAAAATAGTGATTTGCTTTGTGGAATCTCTGTTGATCATGTTATAATACCTTTGAGAGATTTTTGGTTGCTTTTAAAATATACTAGGTCGAAATCCGCGCTACGCTGCGGGATACCTTTTTGAAGTGTTTTTTATTTATATATTTAATATAGATATAATTTGTAATAACTAAATCATACTGTTTGTAATCAAAATTAAACCAAACATAGTGAATATATTAATATGATTTATCATTTAAGGATTTGGTTCATAAACTCACTTATCAAAAAAATTAATATTTCAATGAGATAGTTCTCTTATGATGCAAACTACCGATGAAAAAAAGATAAAGATTGCAAACTTTGTAACTAAATTGATAGAGAGAACTCACTCTAACAAAACCATTTAAATATGTAAAGCATATACTTCATATCGATTAGGTGTTAATTTATTTACTTTACTTTAATTGTTACCAAGGTGAATATATTTCAAGCATCGTTAAGTTACTTTTTCTAGTTCATCTCAAATTATATCAATTATGCAACACTGCAATTGTTCTAGTCTAGGTTAAGTAGACGATCATAAAATTTTGTTTACCTTCCAAGATGTAAAAGATTATAAAAGAATAGAGTATTGGAATCCCAACTTTAACATCTCGAGGTATTTAGTATGTTTGACCTTACTGGGACTGGTCTAATTGTTGTTTCTACGCACTTCAATATTTCTTTCATCTCTAAGAGGTTTATTATTATTCTTCTTCCTTTATTTCCGACTATCTAAAATGAGAATAAGATATCTCAAGAATTGATGCAGCTAATAAATCAAGAAGTGAGGAATTTTATTATTTATTTATACATAAAAAATGCAGGACCAAACAACCAAATCATCATGAATATAAAATTTATGACTACTTCAAAATATATACCATTTATGAAAATATAAGCTTAAGTCTTACAATACACTAGATCAGAGCCCGTGGTGCCACCGCGGGGGAAAGTTTTTAGAAACAATTATTTATGATTTGATACCATTGAGACTTGTAAAAACGTTATTAAGAGCCATTTGTGAGAAAGAGTTTGTTTGATGGAAGTAAAGTTGATTGGTAATGATTTTTGTTTATACGGATGGTTTGATCATATATTTATACTGGGAACGCATAAATTAAGAGAAGTAGGGTTTATGCATAGAATATTCGTCAATGGATATTCAACGGCGAGATTGTAGGATTTTTTTGATTAGGGAAAACTTAAAAAAGGTAGTAACATCTCAACAAAATATATGATAAAGGTTTGATATATAATTCGATTTTGTATTATGGAGATTTTTTTACGATTCTACTTGTAAATAAAGTAAGTAAGATTGTTTGGGCGATAAATTAGGTATTTGTGCACAAAAAAAGATTATTAAGATCTCAACAATTAATTTTGCATAATCTTATTTCCATAAGCTGTTGAACGCAATTCTCCTTTTTGTTAGGTAAGTAATGCTTTTTTTTCGTAATTAATGTTTTAGGATCGTTTTTTCGGAGTTTAATATTTTGTAAAGTTTGTAATTATGTCTAGAAGATCCGATTAGTATATTTCCGGGTCATTTTTTATTTTTTTTTAATTTTAACCCGACCCAAATATATTTGTACTTCTCTTTTAATAGTATAGAGATATAGAACATAACTTTAAACTATGATATTCTCGAATCACTAAGATACACGTTGCCATATTTTTCTTGCCTCTTCAAAAGCCACACCGAAATATCAGAAAAGATGCAAAATATTAAGCTACAATAAAGAAGAACCTAATCATATAAACATGCATTTGTAAGAAACCATTCCATCATCGTCATTTTTCCTGTGAAAACTCAACTAATTACTTCAATCCTCTCTGATTCAACACTGTCTCAGCATGGGATTGAGAGATCCAGAATCTAGTAATTAACTCAAGCTTCTCGTGAATCTAGTAATTAACTCAAGCTTCTCTTGAATCCAATTAGAGATTTCAAAGAAATTGGAAGCAGTGATGGAGAATCTCGTAAAGCTTTCATCAATGAAGATTTGGAAGCAACGACTCTAATTCTTTTTTTTATGGATAAATGAAAGTCATCAAAGAAGAAAGCTTAATTAATTTGACAAAAAAACATAACAAATAAAATTATGTCTAATAAAAATTTCGGTCGGTTCGTAAACTGACGGCAATTTTCTTGCTTTCAAAAATATATAAGTCGGTTTAGATGGTGACTTTATTAAACCGACGTGCCCCAACATTTTTCTTGTATATGAGTTTCTTTTAAATTAGGTTTCTATTATCTACTAAAATTCAGTTGTAATGGGTCAAATCCCTTAATTCCTATATGGGCTGGGCCTATATATATATATATATATATATATATATATATATATATATATATATATATATATCTCTTTTAAAATTTAAATAGCAAGCTTTTTAATAATAAAGAATAAGTAAGAGAGATTATGATGTGGAACCGAAGAGAATTATTATTGGCTGAGAAATCTGAGCTGTATTAATCGAAATGTTTTCATTGGATGATGATTTTAATGATGTGTCAAGGTGAGAAAAGCTTAAAAAGCTGAGGTGTCAACGCAGGAGAGAAACCTATTGTTATTATTGTATTGATATTAAATTGTTAGCTAAAATTCCTTTTGGCCTTCTAACAGAAGAATTCCTTTTGGCCAACTATAGCCAATTTTTGTTAAGAATCCATTTCATTAACTTAATTTGTTATGGGTGTGAAAATATTGTTCAACTCATTTGACTTTGAAAATATAACAGAAGCATTCAAAGATTCTGACTTTGAAATGTCAAAATATAACATTTGCTTCACTGGAAAAGTTTGAATTAAAACATATATTCATATTTTCTTTCTATCGATTTCTCAATCACGAAAGACAACAAACTTAAAGATTAATACACTTCATATAATTGTTTATTATAATTTTTTAAAGATTAATGTATACATATTTGATAGTCAAGATGTTCACTTGGGGCTTTACTTCAACATTACATGAAAACAACCAAAAATATGACATATGAAGTACATAGTAGAAAAAAAGAGAGCACTAAAGCTCATAATACATTTATAGTTGAAGCACCCAAAATATGATTAATTCAGCAATCTTCCTTTCATTTGTTTTCTCTATTTAAAACATTAGGATTCAGATCCCCGCGATCTCGCGGGAGAAAAAATTTTAAAAATCTTTAAAGAAAAATCATAATGAATTGAGATAACTTAAAAAAAAAAATCTTTTTAACAATAAAGCAAGATGTATTTTACGAAAATTTATGATAAAGAGATGTAACCCTCACAAACAGTTATTAAGATGTATATTATTACTAAAAAATATTATGGTGAAAAGATGTGATCATAAACAAAAAATATTAAATAAAAAGTTATAATGAGTAGACATACTTTTTCAAATTTTTAAATAATTCTAAACATATATTATATAAATATATTCAACAAATCATTATGATAAAAATACATAATATTTTAAATGAAGTTATGTTAAAGAGAAACAATCCTCGGAAAAAATTAACTTATAACCAAAATTGATAGTTATTTAGAAAAAAAAAATATAGATAACAAAGTATATACATATAAATACTAGATAACAAAAATATAGTTAGAAATTGAATAGATGCAAAAAAAAAACACTACCAAAAATTGTATTTTATAGTTAGTAAAAAAAATTAACGAAAGGTTGCGACGAATATACACAACTGTTCAGATTTGGAAAAGAAATTTATTGAGATTGTTATTACTATTAGACTAGGTTATGAACCCCCGCGATGTCACGGGGAACTCAATTTCAACAAATATATTTGATTGTGTTTATGTATTAAATTATTATGATAATATATTCAAATATATGAATAATTACATAAAATTAACTATGTTTTAAAGTTATATCATAAATATTTTTCAAAGATGTTAAAACAATTTATGAATAAAAGACGCAACAGTTCAATTGTCCAAAAAGCATTTATTGAGATTGCTATTATATATAGATTAGCTTAGTCTAAATGGGGTCCGGTGCTAGGGTATATTTCGTATAGCTGGCAATAACTTGTTTCAAGGGTCTCTGGGATTTGAATGACAAACTATAACAGAAAACTAATTTTACGGAACATCACCTTCCTTATTTCCGGAAAAAAAAAAAAATCTCTTTTAGTTTCTTATGTCCGATGGACTTGTATATTGTTTCAAAGAGTCAAAGAAACAAGATCAATCTCCGAACACTATTAACATAAATGTTTTGGTTTTTGGATAATTGGATAAAGTCATATTCATGTATCTACGTTAGGTGTTTGATTTTCTTAGTTTTTACAGCCCTCGTCTAGTGTACAAGCATATGTTGTGGTATATATAGAGCGTTTGGGTCCATTTCTTGTTGTTTGATAGCTAAAGCTACTGTCTAGTATGCTTGTCGTTAATTTGTCTTCATGCTAAATTAGGTACAACTTATACAATTTACTTTTACATTTGAAAACACGTTTTGAACAAATATTTTCTGGTCGATAATTGGAGAAATCTTATCTGGTCGCAATCCAACTTATAGACATGAAATCTCAAGACACGTACATTCATGACTTGTTCATAACATTATCACTTTTTTTTATCGGACGTACAAAAGATCCTCCACAATAAATATTTTTGGTGAAAAAGGAAAGAACTCTTTACACCAACCATAAAAGCCAAAAAACAAAAGAAAATGTTGGTACTCATCATATATACCTAACTCACCTTTTTGGTGTGTAGATAAATGTCTAACTAACTCCATTACTTATTCCAATCTTTTCCTTATAAATTATAACCGTCACACTTACCAATTCAGTCACTTAACCAAACATGTTTGAAAAGGGGTTGATAAAAAAAGAAGCAAACATGTTTCAAGAGGAGAAGAGAAAGACAAACTATGGAGCAATTTGCTTGGTTTGCTTCTTTTCTTGTTTCTTTGCATTCCAATTCATGAAAATCGTAACAACACAACCTTTGACAACATCATCCATTTCCGTTATCGATAGCCCAATGTCCTCCCATAAGCTCTCTGATAGGAGAGAATTATGGAGAGTTAGTCCACCTTCTACCTATTGTCTCAAAATCGAATCTTTCAGAAAATTCGCCACTTCTCCAAACGCCGAGAAGTACGAATCCCGTCCTTTTCAATCCGGTGGATACAACTGGTAAGTTTTCTTTCTTTTCGTTTTTTCATGGTTTTGCGCATTTCTTTGCATCAAAAGTTCCAGAGACATATTTGATTGTAAGACTATATATATATATTCATTTGCAAACAGGACACTTATTGTCTATCCTAAAGGAAACATTAAGGAAGGAGCTCCAGGTGATTGGGTTTCAATGTACGTCCAAATAGACAATTCAACACTCCTTAACTCTCCTAAAGAAGTTTACGCAGAAGTCAAATTCTTCATTTATAACCGGAAAGAGGACAAGTACTTCACATATCAAGGTACTAATCAAAATTTCATTGCAAGTTGTAGAAAAAAACACAAACGGCCATTTACACATAAATAATTTTTTGAAAAATACAAATTTTAACGTTTAAAATCAAAAACGAGACGTTGATGGTTTTACATTATTTCAAATGCCAAAATTAGCATTTCAAAACACACAATCTCAAACGCATGTCCTGGTGCACAGAGACGGATGCAAAGCGCTTTTTTCTGTTCAAACCATATTGGGGATATGGTAACGTTAGATCCTACGGAGACGTGGCGAATCCCGATGCTGGTTGGCTTTTCGACGGTGACAATGTTTTATTCGGTGTCGATGTATTTGTCACTGAAGTTTTTAACAAATGGGAAGTATTCTCCTTCACTAAGAGTTTGCATAACCGCCTTTACAAATGGACGTTACCCAATTTCTCGTCACTAGAGAAAGACTACTATGTATCTGACAAGTTCGTGATCGGTGGGAGAAGCTGGTGAGTTCATCATAAGTCATAACTTGTTTAAGCCACATACTGTAAGAAAAATTTAACTATTTACATTTTTTTTTATATACAACTCTTAGGGCTTTGAAAGTGTATCCAAGTGGCGATGGAGAAGGACAGGGTAACTCGTTGTCGCTATATGTTGTTGCGGTTGATGTTAAGCCTTACGACAAGATTTATCTAAAAGCTAAGCTACGAATTATAAACCAAAGAGATTCTAAACATGTGGAGAAGAAAGGTATATTATATCGAACCATCATAGTGTGACTAATGTTAATATTTTTCTTTTAGAATTTAACCACCCTTTTGTCACTATCTTATTGACAGTCGAAAGCTGGTCGGATCAAGCAAACAGTTGGGGATTCCAGAAGTTTGTACCATTTGCTGATCTTCAGGATACTTCTAAAGGTCTTCTTGTGAATGATACATTGAAGATAGAGATTGAATTCGAAGATTTCTCTAACACGAAATACTTTCCAAGTTAAGTTTAGCCTTATGCGATCCATCAGCCGAACCAGAGAGCTTGGAACCAGATTACTCAACCAAAGTCACACTCGTTGCTTTTTTATTTTTAAGTGTTTTTGTGTCAATAATTGGAGGATTTGTCTTCCTAAGGTTTAGGAGCCTATCTCCCACTTTTCCTAATTCCCTTGTACTTGTAGAAATAGTTGATTCCAAGCTTTTCTTGTACTTGTTTCCTATTTAAATAAATGAAAAACTAGAATAAAAGCATTAATTGACCGTCAAACAAAAAATTTAAAATCAACTGAAAGTAGAAGTCTATCTCCACTACATACAGAAGTCGAGGCCCTTCTTTGGGCGATGAAGTGTATGATTGGCGCAGATAATCAAGAGGTAGCGTTCTTTACAGACTGTTCTGATCTGGTGAAGATGGTGTCTTCTCCAACCGAATGGCCGGCGTTTTCAGTGTATTTGGAGGAGTTTCAGAGCGACAAAGAAGAATTTTCAACCTTTTCTTTATCTATAATTTCTCGCAGTGCTAATGTAAAAGCGGATAATCTGGCACGAAAAGTTCGTACAGAACCGCTTCATGTCACTTATGTAAACAACATTCCGCAGGAATGGCTATTCTGAGCACTATTTAATTTCGGATGACAAAAAAAAAAAACTGAAAAAAGTTTGCCTATTGAGTCATTTGAAATAAAAAAAAGTTTCTCACCAAAGAAACATCATGTTCGGTTTAGGAGTACTCTCTTCTCCTCTGTTTTGTTTCTCTGTTTATGTAGTGTATGATACATAGAGATCCACAAAGCTACTTGTATAGTTTATGTACCTAGGTAACCAATCCATACTCTTATTTCATTGTATCTTTAACAATCATCAATAAGCAAATCAAAATTACCAATATCAAAGACAACTCGTTCCTCTTAAGAAAGAACAATATTAGGAAATAAATAAGAAGCAAAGAAACTACTTTCCCCTTGCTCATGAAGGCTAGGTAGGGATCCGACGCAGCCAACGCGGGAGAACAATTGGGATAAAGTATCGGTCATAGTGGTGTTGAAATGGGTTCAGGTCTCCAGCAACGCTCAAAATGTTACCATGGCTGCTATGTGCCTATGTTCCAAGTTGTTGTGAATCCAAAGCTTTCCTTTTTGGAAGTTAGCAGATACCAAACATTTATGTATCTTGCTCCTTAATCGCTAGGCTTATTTACATAATCATGGGCCTTCATTGGCCCAATAAATTTAAAACCCTATTAGTGTGTTTTTTTTTTTTTTTGGTATGAGCTCTATTAGGGTTTTAATCGACGCCTTCTTCGATTTTCTTCATAGACGACACACCATTGATAAAAATCTCCAAATTGTTCCCGTCGTAGAAAATTTTCTCGAGCTGATTTCCGATGACGATTGACAACGCGAGAGAAGAAAAGAAGAAAAAAGGAGAGAAACGCAAGCACCAGGTGACTTAGAACACGTCCTCTTCCTTACTAATACAGTTTCTTCGTTTAACTTGAACAAATTATGCTTTCTTTGTAGCAGAATGATCTGGTTGATATTGAGATGTTAAAACTTCGAGAAGCTCTAGAGGGAAAACTTAGAAGCAATGGTTCTAAGGTTTTAAAGTCTGAAAAAGCTCAAAAACGTCAGAAATTAGAAGACTCAGAAGATGAATTTTACAAACAAGTGAAACAAAAACAAGAAGCTAAAAGAGCTGCCAAAGCAGAGATCTATTCAAGGTTCCAATAATAATAATAAAAGTTTATTACATTAACCTTTCTTTTTTCACAAACTTTGACACTAATTGTGTTGGTTTAGGAAACCACATTTGATCCCGTCATCGCCAGAACGTGTAGTTGGAAAACGATTGATTTCAAATCAGGTTAGAATGTTTTCCAAAGCACGCAATAAACATCATCTGTTTCTCTAGCTAGCAACATAGTTTTAACGTTCCTTTTTTTTTTTAATCTCCACCAAAATGTAGATAGCTAGTAACAGAGGATTGACCCGTAAACGCAACAAGGACCATAAAAACCCGAGAAAGAACTATCGGGTAAACGATCTTGGATTGCCAGCCTCAGTCTTTGACCTGTTTATTTGCCTTAACTAAGATGCGTATTGGGATTTTGAATTTTTTGTTTGCAGGATAAGCACAAGAAAAAAGTCATTAATCACAGAGGACAAGTCAGAGGTATCAGGACACAAAAGGGTCCATATGCAGGAGAAACTCGCGGTATCAATCCCAATACAAGTCGCAGCATACGAATCAAGAACTAACCTGCTCTGCCTAGGTCCCCAATTTCTGCATTTCCATGTTTGTTTTTGCTGTTGTTATTATCTTCAGTACAACCTCTATAAATTAATAACATCAGGACTATAATATTTTATTTTCATAAAATTTGATCTCTCGATTTTGATTATTATTCATTTAAAGTAAATGTAAGCAAGAGTATATGCAAGATTTACTACTACAAAATCTCAGATTTACGCGTTGAAAGTTTTCTCAAACAAGTTGTGATAGACTTATCAAGTACTGAGAGATTTAACTATTCTAGTATTAGGCAAACGAGTGTACATCCCATTTTTTTTTTTTTTTTTTTTTTTTTTTTTTTTTTGATAAACCCTATCGGCTGATCCGGTCGGCCTCGGTAGGAACGCACCGAAGTGCTACAGAGTGGACTTCTCCCGATCCAGGTAGAATTGGGCCACCACTCTGCCTGATCAGAGTTTGAAATACCTTCCGACTAATTCCAGGGGTAGTCAGGCCGCCTGCATTTCTGAAAACCAGGTAAACCAATTGGGCCTAAGCCCAACTGACAGACATCCCAATTTGAAAACACATTTTTTCCCTTAAATTGGAAAAAAAAAACAAAGAAAATCAGTTGTTGATGCACGATTTAGCACAATCTGGCGCACTCAATTATGGACCATGTCAAATCTCAAATGTCTCTACGTTTGGCATATGAAGCCCATGTGCTTTTGACTAAGCAATATCATATAACGAAGAGCTCCAAAACGTGAGCATCTGGGAGGACACGTGACCTCAAGAAGAAGATGTCGATATTTGTTACCTTAGAGTTGTGTTAGTATAAACATTTCATGAGTTGGCAGAGAATACATGACTTGTGACGTTAGTTATGGGCATTGGCGACGGGCAAGTTGATGAAAATAAATAAAGCACATATCATCGAGAGCTAGAGAACACAAACACCATTTTTATAATTCCTTAATCAAATACATCATTTTATTCTAGAAATAAGGTTATTGCAATGGCCATGTAAGCTGCATTTTGCTTTTTATATTCGGCTTATAATCCCTTTTCTATGTAATCTAAGAGCCTACATTCTGATTTGAAATTTAATAATTGTAATCCAATCGCAGTTTGTTTCTCTCTAGAAACAGTGTAGTTATAAATTACAGATTATCAAATTTTCATCGTGTTCTGTTTCCATTACCTATTAAATTCACAAAAGAAAAAAAAAACAGATTTCTATGAGACATAATAGATTCTTACGTGATGCACAACAAACATGAAGATGAATTATTATAACACAAAAACACTTTGAATATTATATTTGATTATGTAGAGCCAAGACAAAGAGGCTACGAGAGTACAAAGATCACTATATTAATATAAAATATAAAGTGATCATGGTGATCATAAATAAAAACAAATAGGATTTTCAAAACTAAAGAGAGGTAGAAAACCAATTGGTTTGTTTTGGCTAGAGGAGAAGAGAGATGGCCACTTGTCAGATGTGTTGAGTAGCCGTGAAAAATGTTCTAAAAAAGTCTAAAACGTAAAATCCTATATTTTTTCTCCAAAATCAAATAAATTATTTAAAATCTATACCCGTTTGATTCAACCGGTTCACTGGATCACGGGTTAATAGCAGATTTTTGTGGGTTTTTTCGATTTTGAAATTGCTGGATATTGGCACTAAACATAAACCGGAGAAGTGTCCAGGTCATGGGTTAACCGGACGGTCCGGGTCGGGCGTGAAAACACTGGAGTTACTCGTGATGTATGCTGTAATTAGTCTTAAAGATGATGTGTAAATATTAAACCCCCCCCTAAAAGGGGATGTATTTCTCTGAATACAAGGCAATAGTACAATTTTTCTACTAATTTTATTTACATAAAAGCTTAGCAAAATCACAAATATATTTGTGGAAGCCCTCTTGGCCCATTGGTTGACCAATAGATAATTAATGCTTCTACACCAAGAGGTCTGGGATTTGAGTACTAGATATTACGATTAATTAACAAATTTGCAGACTGATAGAAACACGTGCGCAGGAGATCTCAAGCGATGTACAATTTTATAACCGTTCGCCAAGATTCTATGCAGAGAGGAAAGTGTCGCCAGGTCGTAAATTATTGAAGGTGTCCATCGAAAGCATGTAGAAGGAAGTGTCGTCTGTCGTGGATCCAATAAGACTCAGAATGAATTGTTCGTTGTAGAATCGTCTATGTAACAGTTCTCATAATTTGTAATAAATAAAAAATCCAGACGTTAAAAAAAAATCACAAATATATTTTGATATGTTCTTGAGAGTTTGTGTCCCACATTTCATTACAATTTTAGGTGTTCGGATCCGGTATCCACAGTAAGTGAGACTCATGATATGACGAAGACTCATGATCTACTTACGGTGAAAAACGAGACAAAAACCGCACGACTTGCTTCATAGACCAGATCTGGAATCTAGGATGGAAGTAACTCGGATGAGATCGAAAGCTTATGCGGGCGAAACACCATGTTGATCTAAGGACCCGAATTAGTGAGCTTTCCGAGAAATCAAATCCATGTTCAAAGCTGTCAGTGAGCTTTCTAGCAAACAAAATTCGATTCGACCAGAGCTTTCGCCGAGACAGTCGCCAAAACCAAAGTGAGAGAATAGATTTTTATGTTAGGGTTTATCTTTCATTTTTCTTTTATAATTCCAATGATTTTTCTTTCTTTTTAATTCACTATGGCATCAATTGTTAATACCACAAAAGCAAAATGCTTAAAGGTTATTTTCAACTTTTAAGGCTATTCTAGTCAACTTTTTTTTGGAGGTGCTATTAGAGTAAACCATAAACTTTTAAGAGTCATTTTAGGTAATTTCTCAAATATTAATGATAATAAATAAAACCTCGTAAAATTAGGCAAGTGTAACAGTCTTTTGACAAAGAAAGTACAATAATATAAAGCAAGAGAAAAAACTTAATTATTTTGGGTCAAACAATAAATATTACCTTAAAATATCTATATCCATTAGTATAAAAGTTTAGAATTCATGGAAGAGTTTTCAGACGTCAAACATGGCTAAAACACATATATGTCTTTCTTTCATCATCTTGTTATACATCATATCAGGTAATCTAATCACCAGTTTGATATAACAATCAATATACCGATTAAAATTTTGATTTTTATATTGATTTTGTTTTTGATGATTTTAAAGTCTTTAGTTGATTGTACGATTTTCCAACCTTTTTAACAATTTCATTTTTACTTCCATCTCCTACAGAAGGAAGTTTCACAAGAGTCAATGCACAGGTACATGCTTTAGAATACTCTTAAACGAAAACGAAACTTGAAAAGTAAACAAAAATAATTCTTATATATTTTTATATCCTTTTGAGTTCGCTCTTACTTGCAGGGCCAAAAGGAATGGTGTGTAGCTAAGCCTAGCAGTTCAACCGAAGAACTTTTTAATAACTTAAACTATGCGTGTTCGATAATCAATTGTCAGATTATATCAAAAGGAGGTGCATGTTATTCTCTAGATAATCTCTATAATCTAGCTTCTGTCGCCATGAATCTTTATTACCAAGCTGCAGGAAGACACTATTGGAATTGCAATTTTGGAGGCTCTGGTCTCATTGCCATAACTGATCCTAGTGAGTTTTATCTATCTCTTTTTTCACTAAATAATTATCTTATTTTTTTTGTTTCGTTTGATCTTAAATCATTTTTATTTCCGACAGGCTATGGAAATTGCATATATGAATTTCGTAAGTAAATCATGGAAAACTTCGCGTTTGTATCTCTTAATTTCAAAATAAAACAAAAAACTCTAATTCTGATATTTCATATGTAAAATCTAAAATCTGAATGATGGTTCAAATTTTCAGTGTTTAATTGAGTTTCAATTCATTGATAAAACCATCTTATTTAATATCATATCAAGATGTACCTTATAGTTAATTATATGTGGTCGATGTTGGTTATAGACGTGAATTATTTATCTCTTAAAAAAAAATTAGATGTTACTGTTAAAGTTTAAGTCCAATTTCTGACTAATCCCAAACCAAATTTATCACTAAATTGATCAAAGAAGGTGTTCTGGATAATAAGCCTAAACTTAAGAAAAGATTTGAGAGACTAAGGGCCTGATTGGTTACGGCTGTAGCTTTAGATTTTTGGCTGTAGAATTTAGGCTGTAGATTTTCATGCTGTAGCTTTAGGATTTTGGCTGTGACTTTTCAGAAATAAAAGCATGATTGGTAAATCTATCTGTAGATTTTCAAAAATGGAAAACATGATTGTGATTAAATTTTAAAGGTGTATTAAATATTAATAGTTATATATATATATATATTAAAGATAATATTTACTAAAAGTACAAATATAAAATTATAACAATTAAAAATTGTTTTTCAATAAATAATATATATATATATGTATATATATTGAATGCGAATACTAAATTGTATTCAATAAAAGTTGGGGAAATTGAAATATACTAAAACTATTGATAAAATTAATGTGTCAAAAAAAAAAAAGTATTTATTGAATTATTTACTATTATATGTCATTTGTATATGTTAATATGTGTTATATAGAATTATGTATACATATATTAATTATATAGTTATAATGTTTAATACAAAATAGGAAAGAAATTAAAGGAAAATAAAGAAAGGAAAGATAAAAAGTTCACAGCCCTTATTCTCGAGCTGTGGAAATTGTAATATGTACAGCCAAAAAACAAGATTATCTAAAGTTTGGGCTGTGGCTTTTTAAATAACATGTAAAGCATGATTGGTTATGCTATAGTGCTGTAGGAATATTTTTGGCTGTGGAAAGTTTCTACAGCCACTACCAATCATCCCCTAAGCTAGCCCAAAAAAGGGAAGCATACAAATGATAATGCGAGGCAAATGGATAAAGTAATAGGGCAATAATCTCACACCAGACACAAACAAAGAAACGAGAAAACTCGACTAACAGGATTCTCCTATCACTTTACAAAGTAACGAGTTTTCGATTAACAGGATTCACCTAATCAATCGCCTAGGGCTTTACAATACTCAACTGCATATGTTATACAAATTTGAAATAAAACATAACTTATCCTCTAGACCACCATCGTAATTTGGCTTTTAGGAAAATGTTCATATACATTAGTGATCCCTGAGAAGTTGTGCAAAGTCTCTTGATTTTTACATCTTTTTCTACATCAGGGAAAAATGATGGAACTCCACAAGCCTGTCTCAGATGAATATATAGTAAAGCTTACGAAATTAGTTCCAATGTTAAATGTATCCATCAAAACAACTTTGTAACTTAAAACGAGGCCGTTTACAATTTGTGTTACAAGTCCAGGTTCATATGGTATACTACATAGACGATGATTAGGAGGTGGAGGAGGCATAGAAGAGATTTTGACACATTGTCTTGAAACTGGATTAGCCACATAGTAGCTGTTTAGATCCCTGCCGGAAGAAGTGAAACCGATCAAATCAATCCAACATCAGTGTATGCCGTTGCTGTCTCTCGAATATTTCGGTTATCAAGGAAGATATGTAAGAGCCTAGAGTTCTTGGTAGTCCCCAAATCTTGCATCCATAGTAAGCCATGACTTCTCCCGTTGATTTTTTGCGCATAAGACTAAGAGACCATGTAGAGTGCGAGTTTTGATAATGAGACATAAAAAGATCATGGAAATACCTAGACTCGACGATTGATTTCCATTGCTTGCAAACCAATTTGAAAGTGGTGATGCTCTTTAGTGGTAATCTCACAAGTAAAGCTGTTAGAAAATGTTTTCGTCAAATTTTTTGGCGGAAAATTTTTTACACGTTGCGAAAAATTTTTGGCCGAAAAGATAAATTTTTACGGGAAATTTCTACTTTTTAATCATTTATTTTAATTAAATTAATAATTTACATTTAATGTTTAATTAAAGTCTATGGTGCTATTTGTAGAACTTTGCAAATGTGGTGCTATTTTTGGAAGAAAACCATATTTTAATGCTATTTTTGTCAATCTTCCTTATAGAAATATTGTATATCAAAAAAAAATTAACATGTAATTAATCCTAAATCAGGTTCATGTATTTTTTAACCACTCTTATTCTTGTGATAGTCTCTCAATATATTTTACTTGTTTGCCAAGGAAGCTTATCGTTAGTTCTTATCGTTTGACAGAGTAATGTAACTTGCTCTGTTAATGTTCAACGTAACTTAACAAGAAAATTTAGATTTGCTGATGAGTTTGAAGTACTAAAGAGTTTATACGCACCAAAATAACGCTAGCCTACATCATGGTCTTCATGAGTTTTTCATGAATTAGGAGAATATAGAATCTTTATATGAACTTAGGGCTTGACAGGTTTAAACGTAGCGGTTGCAGTTGCGATTGTTGGAGTTTGCGGAAGCGGGCGGTTGCAGTGTCAAGCGTTATTTAACGTTTTGACCGACTTGTTTAGCGGTTGAAAACGGGTGTATTTGCGGGAGATTTACGACTGGTTGATCAGCATGTACGATAGCAGTTAAACCAAAATATATTTAATATATAATTATGAAAAAGTATAAAGTATAAAAACACCAGAAACTATAATTATGAAAAAGTATAAAAATTTTAAACATAATTCATGATTAAAAACCATAAATAATTACTAAATATTTATTCAAAGAAATTTATATTGAAAAAAAAATTATTATTAATATCATAAATTTAAAGTTAGATAATTTTTTTTTTTTAGAGTGAATGTGAATATAAATAAAACTTGATAATATATATTTTAATTTGTTTATTTTCTTTTTTAGTTTCTTTCCTTTTTAAAACCAACCGCAAACGCTTGTGGGAGGGAGCTTTTGAAATCCAGCGATTTCGAGAGGTTCAAAGCGGTATGGAGCAGTTTGTCCGATTAGTACCAACTGCTAACAATCACAACTGACTGTTAAAAACCGTTAGGCGGATGCTAGCAGGAGAACCAATCAAGCCCTTAGTGATAAGCAGTATGGAATGCATAAATTGATGCATTCATTTTTTTATTAGAACTTGTGTGATATTAATCGATTGATGATCTTTCTAAAAATTGTTTAGTTATTTTTTGTTGGCAATCATATACAATCTCTATTAAAAAGGAAGTGAAATAGTCTTTACTCTCTAGGAACATCTATAAAATCTTCTCAGTGTGTAGGGCAATGCAAAGGATTCTATACATCCACCGTAGTAGAACAAACATCGAAAAATATGAATCAGAGAGGCTTTCCATTGTGTCCATCTCTCTCTTGCATTCAACAGTACTCAATGGCTGACCGTTTCTGCTACGTTCCAATTCACCGTGAAGCACAACACTCCCATTTTGCAAGTCAATAGATAGCAAAGAGTCTTGTGTCTCGCTCCTTAGGTACATTGTATTACCATCAAAAGGGTTTATCGACAGTGAAAAATAATCGAAATCGGTCTTATTAAATGCCGCACAGATTTCCGATACTAGCTGCCATTCCCGTATTATTAGCTTCCATACATTTAACTTATGCTCTACACTTCTTCCATCATCTTTGTCTATAAATACCCCATTCATATACGTTAAATTAAACATCCTCCGGAAATTGTGCAAGATCTTTTGAAGTTCGGTTCTTTCTCCGAGTCAGGGAAAGGTATAAGTCGAAAATGTTAGATGACAAACTGAATAATTTTTTCAAAACAAACTTTTGAATATGATTCAAATATACATGTAAGAATTTGCGTTGAAAATAGATAAAAATAGAAACATTGATGATTACATAACTTTAAACGCCAAAATTTGTGTTTAAAACATACGCTTATTTTGTCCACAGAGACAGATCCAAGGCGACTTTTTCTGGTCAAACCGTATTTTGGACAACCTCGAACTAAACCCTTCGATTAGATCTACAATCCTGATCATAATGCTTGTTATTATTTCGATGGTGACACTGTTTTGTTCGGTGTGGACATTTTTGTTAATATAGTAAAAACGGGTAAAAATACAAGTATATCAATCAACTACTCTTTGCTTAAATGTAATCTCCAAATGATGGTCCGTAGTTCTGCTCAAAATTAAAGACCAACGTTGATTAAAAAAATATATTATTTTGAGCTGTTTAGATTCATAGTATTTTGTTTTTTACTCTTTGATTCTTGTGTCCTCAACGTTATTAGTGTCATTTATGCGTGAATCACATGTGGATATATTTGTTCTTGCATACAGTGGATGCTAGTCTTCAAGTATTATATTAGTATCAAACTTCTAAATGACATAATGTCGTCCTTATAACTTGGAGCCTTAATTTGATATATCACACAATAAATAGTTTTTTTTTTTTTTTTTTTGACCAATCCCACAATATATTACTTAAACGACTGTAACATGTAATATGTGATATATATACAGTAGAACCTCTATAAATTAATAATGTTGGGACCAGAAAATTTTATTAATTTAGAGAGCTATTAATTTATCGATAAATTAATAATTATTAATTTATAGAGAGATTTTATTAATTTTGTAATTTCTTAAAAAATTTCTATCTAAAAATAAATTTTTTCTTTAAGCAACATCTTTTAAAAACTAATTACAAGTAGAAAATCAATTATTAAGTTTTTAAAACAACACAAACTTATTTCAAATAATAGAGTCATATTTCACTAAACTTTTTACATATAATATTATAAATATATATTATAGAAATTCATATATGACATATATAAATTTATATCATATATATATATATATATTAAGTTAAATATACATATATATATATATATATATATTGATAAGTTTATACAATTATTAATTTATGATATAGATGGGACCATATGTTTA